TCTTCAATGACTAAATTATATTCTAACGTACACATGCATAATTAAAACTAATTAGCAGTTTGCCACCCTCATAGAAAGATTAAAAAAAGTTCTTTCATTGGAGACTGCTACAGTAAAAATGAATGAAATGCTTTAAATTAAATATATAATTTGAGATTTAAAATCTATGTTGATTTATTAGCAGTTAATCTGATATGAAGTAACAATTAAACTTATGGCATGTGGACGGCGACATGACTTTGAAGTGTAACTTGAATAACTTGAATTGAATAACTTTGAAGTGTAACTTGAATGACTTGAATTTATATCCAACGATATCTCGGACGGAATGATCTGTTTCATGTTATAACTACTACAAGAACACATCTATAAGAATCTAAACTAATAACTAAAAACTTGTTTCGCTTGGCCGAGACCAACAACTATATAGCATTTTATGCATCATTCCTTTGGACGCGTGAACTTAACTCGTGACTATTGCATGTGATGAACTACACATTACGTAAAATGCAGAAAAACGTAACATTTTATTACAAATAAAAGACTCTTGTGGACTTGAAATTCGGATAGTGCAGACATGAGGAAATTCTTAACGACACGCGGAGCACGTTTCATAGCCGCTTAGCTCATGAGATATTTTACGGCAGGCCGCATATTGCGTGTGGTTCTAAAAATCCTTCCCATGCATTTCTGGGCTTAGAAATAGACATGCGTATCATTTCAATTTTAGCAATAGCGTTTTAATTTAAACACTGTAGGTGAACAGACATCAATAAAATAAATGCATAAATTACATTCCTATAATCGCAGTCAGTGCTTTTATATAACTAAGAGTGAATTTAATCGATTGCAGCACGCCATTTTCAAACAGGCATTAATAAATCGCGGAAAACAGATGATTTTCATACCTATTTATCTTGAACAATGAATTTCACTCATATTTTTATGGATCGTTGTTGGATTAGAGTTAATTTCAACAGAATAATAAGTTAATATTGAATGGTGAATAAATATATTGCAAAAAAGTGTAATGATACATGTATATTCTGAAGAAATACGATATATCCATCTTGGGTTTTCAGTCTACCGAAATAATCTATGAATCTATGCGGTGCAGGGCACAATAACCTTCCAACGAAGGTTCAGCCCATAGTTGAACTAGTATAAGGTTGACCCATCAGAAGCCCATTTTTGTGGATGTAGTTCGTTGTTCGCCTGTGACGTCACTGATTTTCGGCCTGTGCAGCGCGACTCAATTACGGGGCCGCAGAAACCGGTCAGGAGTTGCGGTGAACCACCTTGCGCGAGCGCCTGGCGGAGTTCATTTTTACAATCAGCGCAGTTGCCGAGAAAAGTTAACAATGACCCAATACGTGGTGTCGTTGCCTTATTTTATGCGCCATGATGACTGTTGAAATAAGTGCGCTGTGTCTATGGCAAGCCTTGTAAGGAGATGTGTGCATGTGCTTGCATAATCGCTCAAAATACTGCTGTTGGTAAAAATGTATACGTTTTGATTTCCGCCACAAAGGATTGTACGTAACACAGAAAGCATATACAAGGATATCGTTCCGTGCTTTTTAGAAACCTCAATTAGCTTTCTTGGCAATTTGACTCGAAATTAGAAGCATATATTGGAGAACAATAAAAACATAAAAGAAATTCCAGGAAGTGTTTTTTGAAAGCTGTAATTAAGTAGACCTTACCATGACATTTGGAAAACATCGAGTAATTCTATTGTGTTGATATGAAAAATTCTATCCAGATTTAATTTTATGATGATCGTTATGTTCCACAGTACACGCTGTCGACCGTACCGACCTTCTGAATATGAACTTGGTCACGGGATTATAGATCTTATACTAAATGTGTAAACTCCAGTTTTCATTAAAAATAATTGAAATGGAAACGATTGGCAACTATTATTCTATAGTTTTTATTTGTCTTAGTAATGAAAATTGGGAATGCACGTAAAAACTATTTTGAGCAAAAGTATCCGGAAAAACTTCCGGAATAATGACACTTTCTTACATAGAGCAATTCCTAACACTGCACACACGCGCCATACCGTTTAAGTTGAAGCAACAATGCAACCATCAGAACATGACCTTCATTTTTTGTGAAAAATGCGGTCAGTTTTTATTTCCAAAAACTACATTTCACTTCAGTCAAAGAGCACACACTGGATGCAGACAGGAAATAATTATCCGGCATGTTCCAGATGAAGAAAATGTCAATCATGCAGGCTGAGGTGCGGGAAGAATTTTCTGAAGCAAACCTATAGCGAACGGAAAACTGCGTGTTACTTCTTGCATTTCAAACAATTTCACATTTTCAGAATTGCGAACTTACGCGTAATTATGGGTTTCAACGGCAGTGAAGTGTTCACGATTATTTTACTTATTTTTTATCCTTTGCTAGATGGTGAAATGCTGAACACCGGACTTGTGTTGAAGTGAATTCTTCTTTTGACACGCCGATGCCTAAAGCCGCGGAACGAGACAAGTAATTCTCACGTATGACAGTTTTTGATAACTGAAACTTACTAGAAAGAATGTTATTGAAATCTCTGCAGATGAATATCTGCACTCAAATTGCTAGATGCTGCACAAATTGAGTAAAAAACAGCGGTAGTATGAAATTTGAAAGTCATGCAAAAATCATCGCGCGCTAGATTTTATATAGTGAATTTCACAATCTAAAACTATAAAACGAAAATTGCACAATATGAGACTTCATGACACTGATAGTAATTTTTCAAACATTGTTTGGAAAATCTTAGAATAGAATAGAATAGAAGTGTCGGCGTTGAAGAAATAGGCCCATGGCCTGTTGCCGATTCTTGAACTTTTCGTGACTTCATTCACAAGGGATCCGGCCTTTGGAACCCGATCTTTCCATAACTGACGATTGATTGATCTTTCTTCAGCTTGATTTTTTCAAACGTACCGCGTACGACACGCCGCGTATTTTAGTCGATAATAGGTATTATTAATAATATTGTCTTTTGTTTTACCTCATACGCTAACAATTATCCAAAAATTTATTCATAATCGATCGAATAGAGGCTGGTAGAACCAGATGGATGGTAATTGCAATGGTTACCAGATTTTCGCGTGTTAGCTGTACACTTGTTTCTGAAGTAAACTGTTACGACTTAAAATATTCGAAAATATTAGCGTTCACTCATTCGGTAACATTTTGGGAACCTTTGTAAATTACAAAATCAATGCAAAACAGATGATGAATGAGGAGAGTTAACAAGTTTTGTTAGTCTTAAAATATTGATTTCCGGATTGGCATGCCATTTTAAACCTTGCGCACTGACAAGAAAAATGATCGTTGCTAGGCAACGATGAAAATTTGGACGCTTAAAGATTTTCAAACAATCCGAAATGGTAATAACTTCTTCAAAATTACCAAAGCTAATTTAGTCGAACTGCCGATGGGATTTGGACCTCGGTAAGTCATCTAGGGTAAAAAAATTTACACTCTACAAACGGTCTGATTTCGTTAATTTCGTTATTTCACTCTGTTTATTTTGCCTCTCAGTTGTCACGGGTTCTTACGTAACTGCAGAGACAGCAATCAGGTTCGTCTCGTGAGCCGCTAGAGCTTTATTGCTAAGGATGCATTGTCCATTGTGGCCTGGATCGGAGAGGTAAGCTTCCATATACTTATTCTCAAAATTTACAAGATAAGTATTCGTTAGTCAGGTTCTTGCGCTTATGTAACGTTAATCTGCGAGTCTCCAATATTTCGTTGCAATGAGATGAAAAATCTTCAAGTCCGTAAACCGGGCATTAAATATTTTGGTTACGTAGTAAAAATGTTGACTTGAAAGGAAGCACTGCAGTCCTTTTGAATTTCATTTGCGGTCATCACAGAACAGAACTGCTTGAACCCTTAAAATGTTGCATTTTCTGGACATGAATATGCGTGGCATCAAAGTAAAATAAAATGAAAGGTAAGTTCAGTATAAGAAGTTTTTTTTGTTTGACGCCAAAAATTATCCAGCTCATGCATTGCCTTGGTTTTCTCTGTTGTTTATGACGCTTTGAATAATTTTTTTCTGCGTACGACTTTATACGTTGTATCACATCGTCGAAAATTCAATAAAGAAACCATTTTCTCGTCATGCATGTAAACAAATGTTTTAGTTAATTTATCTACTGGCCGTGGATAAATAATTGAATAATAAATCTCTTTTCCCTGCTCCAGTAGATTTCCAAAACAGCCCCTTCAATATTAACAATAACGCTTTGCTATCGAATAGACCGGAGGCCAGGAAGCATAAGCATATTACTTATTCCAGTCGATCATTTTTTAGACGAAATTTAAAACTTGATTGGTGGCTAATGACGTTCACACCAAAATTGCGCAACTATTCGGGTTTAGAATTTTGCAAATTTTAAAAATTTGTCTGCTGCAAATGTTAAAAATTCATAATAATAAGCACCAAAAATTTTGATGGAAGTGAAAGTCGGTTGGGATAATTTTTAAGTTTACCATATTTGCATAGGAAATAAATTCCTATCAAGCTAGGCACTCCTGAATAAATAAATGGTAAAATTTATCTCGTTTTTAAGGGGTGTGGGGATTCATTGCTGCATATATCAAAATACACAAAACTTTTCACGCAAAGTGAGATCCCTTCCATTGTGCTGATTTAATTCATTATTTTTATTTTTTTAAGTTCGTGCCTCTTTTTACTTCGTTTCACTTCGCGATCGTTTCACATTTGTCGCCGAACTATTGAGGAAATGCACTGAAATCTTATAACTAATTCTGATAGGCAAACGCTTTTTGCTTACAGTCAAGCAAAGTCTGAGCGATATGCTAAGGGACAAGCTGATCTCATTTAAATCTTTCACTAAGCAGACCTTCAAATTCTTAAAGCAACAAAATCATAATTAAAGTCTACATGATACTTTGTGTCATCTTGTCCGAAACAAATTATCAAAAGGAATTAATCATGGAGACAGGACAATTAAACTCACATTGCTCGCCGTTGTTGATGGCGATTTGTTGCTCAGGGATAACTTCGTAGTTGTAGAAGTAGATGGGGTAGATGCCGACCCAGTGCGAGTACTGCACTGAGAATCTGTCAATGTTGATAGGCGATTGCCTCTTGCCAGCGCAGAATAGGGGGAACTGTCGCGGCCAGTCTTCCTTAGCTGCATGCAAGAGACTCAAGCATTTACTTATTAACTATTTGAATAAGTTATTTATAAAATATAAACATGAAATGGAATGACTGCCATCTAGTTTTTTACCTACAAGCAGCAATTCTCAGAAAACTTGATCTCATGAATGTTCCCTATCACTACAGGCAAATAAAAATATAACTTAGCAAAGCTTGCTAAACTATTGACCACAAGCTAAATTATTTCGAATATATAAGAAATGAAAGACTACGAAACCAATTGGTCTCAACGAGTACTTAAGCATTAATTATGTGATTGAGTCCTCGGAATAAAGCAGGCAGCTTGTCGACACATGAATTAGACATGAAAATCATCAATTCAAACTCCTACAACATATGCTCAGATATTGCTCTATTTATTCCTATTTATTCGATATCAGCCAAGTGACAGACGACTGCTCGCAAGGTTGCGATGCGAGCTATGAGACATTTTTTTACGTACGCGACCTTGTTTTTCTTTGTCAGGACTCACAATTTTTTTATGAACTTCAATATCATTCATTGAGATCGGCACAGATTTTTGAGAACCACATTATAAATCCTTGTTTCTGAAAAGCTATCGGCCTGAATGAGACTAATATACTGATTTGTTTGAAGTGACGTTAATGAACGACTTATTTTGAAGTTTTATTATGCCATATTGATTTACTATGAGCAATTGCTATCTGAGCATGTTGATTTATTATATAAGCATATGATTAAATAAAGACGATTAGATTATGAATATATAATAAATTCTCTAAATTTTCGTCTGATGACTCATATTTTCATACATAATATCCTTACTTTTTTGTCATTGGAGTCAAGATGAAATTTTTTCGTTCAGCAAAGAACTTGAGATTTTACTTATTTCCATTGCTTTTCTAAGTATTTGAAAATTGAACAATTTTTTACAAATTCGTGGTTATATGCAGTGTTTGTTCATTATATTGAGTTGAGCTTTGATTCCCTCACATCAAATTCTTATTCAAACAAATTAAGAAGGTTTAACGCATAAATTTAATGTATAATTTAAGCAACTCCTGTCATCGTCAAACTTATGTTTCATCAATTTCATAATCAATGGTTTTCAATACACAGTAAATGTTTAAAAACTTACTTGGTTTTAAACAAAACAATATGAAGAGCCGCAAGAAACTTTACTCACTTTCGTAATCCCACGGCACTGACGGGTTTCCTGAAATAAATACAAAAATCAATGCATAGACATTGTTATATACTCTCAATGTTTTGTTATTAGACTATAAATACAATTCGAGTAAATACAATTCAAGAATTCACCATCTACTGCACGATACATTTACTGTAGAATCCACTAAATTGTTACCAGTAAACAATAATTCTAGTGAATAGTGAAACTTCATGATTTCTCCTTGTAAATTAATTCAATTGACCTAATCACAACAGGGTACAATGTACAATGCATCTGCCCGTCTCAACCAAATAAATACTACAATCCTTGATCTTGAACCTTCAACCTACTATATATGGCATTACTATCTGAGGAGAATGCGGTAGTGAAAGGTTTCGTACTAACGAAAGTTTCTAATTTCTTCAACAGTCAATATAGAACACAGTGAGCATTTGTTGTGATTTTTATCTTTTGAGGCGCCAGTTTTATCTCAATGACATTATTGAGGTTGTCGTCTTGACATTAAACCTTGGCTTATATTTAGCCCTAATGATTAAGAAGAAACCATCAATTTTAGGTTGAGGTTGCCAGACACAAGTGAGAGAAAAAAACAGAGAGATTAAAATGCTTCATCTACGTCCTTGTATTGAATACAGTTGTGTGTATTGACACATTTAATACACTGGTGTGTATTGACACATTGAATACACAGGTGTGTATTGACACATTAAATACACCGGTGTGTATTAGCTAATTGAATACATTAATGAGTATTAACATATTGAATACACCGGTGTGTATTGACACATTAATGCTGAAAACAAAACACAATCGCCTACGTTACAAAATAATACAAAGCAGGAGAAGTTGAAATTGACCTAATCATTAGAAGCATTCATAATTAAATTTATGATATTGTAGTTTAAGTCTCTTTTTTGTTTGGATTTGCCAGAGATTTACTTATTCATTCTAAAATCTGGCTTATATTAAGCAACTTATTCCTAGCCAATAACATTTTTATTCAAGCGAACTGTTCATATAGGGTGTTAAGATTATTAAAAGTGCAAGTTATACTAAAGAGAATATGTTTAAGATATTGTATTATTCTCATCTCAGACACTATTGTAGTGATAATAATTATCATTAGTATACACGATTTGAAAAGAACACCCGAGAACTACCTAATTACCATACATATGTATACATAGACTTGTTTATTCGATTTTTACATTATAACGGCGCAACAAACTAACTGCTTCAATTTGAAATCCTACATACTGTATATATTAACTGCTTCAACTCTATTATCTCTTTTCATCTCAACATAAACTTTTTTAACTTATCAAACTCATTAACTTTAACTTAAACTAATATATGTCAATTCATCAATATTTCTATTAAGATTATATTATTCAAGATTCATTTCAAGGTTGTTCTCATGAGTACCAATACAGCAAAAATTATTGACTAAACACTAGTGAAAGTATCGTTGAGCGCGAGACCTAGAGAAATCATATATATGCTGAGCAACAACAGCTAACGTACACGCTCTTGTTGCCTAGCATCCGTCTTGTGCCCTCGAACAGCTTGCGCATGCGCTCTAGTTGCCTAGCCCCCGCCATGTACAGGCGGAACAGCTAGCGCACGCGCTCTAGTTGCCTAGCACCCGCCTCGTGCAGGCGCAACAGCTAGCGCATGCGCTCTTGTTGCCTAGCACCCGCCTCGTGCAGGCGCAACAGCTAGCGCATGCGCTCTTGTTGCCTAGCACCCGACTCGTGCAGGCGCAACAGCTAGCGCACGCGGTCTATAGTTCCCTATACTCACCTTATTGTGCCCGAGCTCGGCTGCTATCAGGTTGATCGGCTGCTATCATAGCAACAACTATGTGACATGGAGACGGGGCGTGACGACTTTCTACGTTTCTATTTTCGGACATCAACTTTGTATTCAAGAATGAAACCGAAATCCCCCTTGCATGTTTTTAATTACCACGCTCAAATATGACACGTTTTTCCAGAGCAAATGTTGCATTATTAACATGATGAAGCTATTCTAGTCTTGGTAGGGTGACGTGAACACGACTTATTATAACATGATCATGAAGACAACTAATCAACAATATGAAAACCATCCGAATAAATAATATGCGTTTAACTTACCTTCCCTGACGGCCAGTAAGAGAATGAACAAGAATATCACTGAAGAGATCATCCTGTAAGTCAATTAATTCAACTCGCTGATGCTGCACCCGAAGTTATATCACACTCTACAATAAAAACCTGAAACTTTATAGTGTGGATGCGAATAAAGTTCTCTTGTACATTTTCATGGAGCGACAAATTAGAGCGACAAACAAATTAGAGCGACAACGTTGCGTATTTACCAGAAGAATATGAAAATATACACATTATATTTTGGAACTGGGAGCTAACGCCTGCAAAGTGAGCAGAATGTTAATGTCACAACACAAGTATCATTTCCTCGTCAACGCAGCGAATTTTTTTAAATTTCATGCCATGTTGTTGATAGTCACACTTCAAGAATCACAGATTTGCTTCTATGACCTTTGTAAGAATTGACACATACTCGTAATAAAATAATGAGCTTGGGTACCATTAAAGACATCCGAATGAATAAACTATTTTTTTTTTGCTATAATGAATTCTTATTCTCTATTGCACAAAAATAATTAATAAAATCTAATAAAGAATGAAAATTTTAGACAAATTTATATAAAGTAAATTACGTAGCATGAAAAATTTAATACTTCAATAAGAAGGATAAATACTTCAAAGCAAAAACTTTGACACAAATCAAGAGGCAAATATGTTCACTGATGCCTCTAGAAAATGACTTTTGTCTATACTTAATCGCATTCACAGTGAAGTTCTGAACGGATTAGAAGTAAGCTTTTCCGTTTGAGTCGAATAATAATTTTCTGTTACTCACTTTCACATATCGTCTTCTAAATCTATCATTAACTCTTAACTTTTCATAAACTATTAACGTTTACAAGTTAGTCGTTAGGTTATAACGATCTTACTGATTTCACTTTGCATCAGATTTTGGCCTCATTGAATATTTTCTACTAAATACAACGAAACAAAAAATCATTTTGGCTATAAAATATCAAGTTTATGAATAACCCACTCACGGCATCACGTACAGTGATCACCTTAGAAACAATATATAAAATTTTCGCGTTATAGCTTCTTTTAATTTTCCTGCTTTTAATTTTCCGTAAGCTGTATAAATAAAAACACTCTCATCTAGGCATAAATCCAATGATTGCATAACTAAGAATATTTTCTTTTAGAGTGCGAGTGTGGACTGTCACATGTACGAGGAGAAATTTAGTACATTGGAGATATTTCGTTGAGTTGCTGCGTGTGCACGACGTGATGTTGCGCGTTAACCACGTATTACCACCATGGTGAGGTTACAGCGCGTTAACCACGTGTCACCACCCTAAGGTTGCCACATAAGCAACATTAATATCATTTGCTAATCACGAATATATCATTTGAGCTCCACCAGAATGTTTTTCATTTTAGCGCAAATTTGCAACACAGAGTTCATTTCCTTATATTAGAGAATCAGGTAGCAAGATCGACTTTAAAAATGTCGTAGCATATCTGTCAAAAGGTATTAAATTTCAGACTAGATATTGTTCTACACTATAATACGAAAAAGCAAGTGAAAGCCAATGAATTATCACTCCTCCAAACTAATTTCAGACGTTGCCCCTGTCTCCATCACAGTAAAGCCCACGCCCTGCATTCGTACTAGTCTAAATGTGTCATGCACGATGCCTCAAAATGACCGAAGACACAAAGAAATTCACTCTTCCAAACTGCGTCCATTAGAGTGCTATGCTACCTCGTAATGATCAAAGACACAGAGAGTATTTTCTCTTCAATCTGCGCTCGAAATGCACGACACGCTGCCTCAATGTAGCGACCTGTATCACTCTTTCAAACTGCACTCTGTGTATTTCGATGCCTCAATGCGTGTTATGAATTGAGTTCTGGAGCTCCACGTGAGAGCTCAGGCATGTACGACTGCGCTCGAAATGCACGACACGCTGCCTCAATGTAGCGACCTGTATCACTCTTTCAAACTGCACTCAGTGTATTTCGCTGCCTCAATGCGTATTATGGATCGAATTCTGGAGCTCCACGTGGGAGCTCAGGCATGTACGACTGCGCTCGAAATGCACGACACGCTGCCTCAATGTAGCGACAGGCACAAACTGTATCACTCTTTCAAACTGCCCTCTGTGTATTTCGATGCCTCAATGCGTGTTATGGATCTAAATCTGGAGCTCCACGTGAGAGCTCAGGCATGTACGACTGCGCTCAAAATGCACGACACGCTGCCTCAATGTAGCGACAGGCACAAACTGTATCACTCTTTCAAATCGCACTGTGTATGTTTCGCTGCCTCAATATGGCTCCACGTGAGAGCTCAGGCATGTACCGCTCGCCGATGCTCCAATATCACGTCAAATGCTCCTGCCATCTCAGCTCACCGAGTTTTAAAAGTAGCGCCTTGTGAGCCAGGGTCATGTCGACGGCGAACGCGCTACACAAAACGCTCTCGCACCCACAGCCGTGGTAGACTGCATCCGGAATAATTCGTTGGTTGACTACAAGCTGCTCAGTAAATTTCGAGAGAGATAAAATATATTTTATTTCATCAATTATTGTCATCCTTTTCAGTTATCGCGATTGTTACATAGATAAAGAAATCGACTTAACTCATACTGTTCTATTGTTATAAACATTAGTTTACCAATTATTCATATATCAACATTCAATCTCACCTGACACACTTGTCGAAAATTACTTCGATTATACTTTCATGTTTAATAAAAAGAGAGAATAGAACACACAATTATACGATGCTCCCCAAAAATTAAAATCATTTATTATATCCAAAATACAGGAACAAGTCCTTGTGATAATGCAAATAATTTGAGGGGCTAAAAGTAGAAATTTCATATTTTATCTGACCCCCGCCATGCAGGCAGCCCTTGAACTTTCACAATACAACCTTAAGAAAACTGGGTCAGTAGACTGAACACTGACCAGTTAACACCAATTCATGCCTCTGATTTGAAATAACATTATAAATTTCATGTTTCGCAACATCGGCTAGTCAAAACCAATTAGTTAGAAAGGACAAAAAAGCCAGCGATTTTTGGTTTTTGCAGACATGCAGTCCGTTTACCAGGAACATTCTGAAAAGGTATAGCTTGTACATCAAACGGAACATGGATTTCATACCAAGGCTGATATTATAAACAAGTTCATCTTGTAGGCTCTGTCATGCTCCTAGCATGTCACCATCGTCATTCGTTCTCGCCGTGCCTGTCTCGCGTCTCTCTATTGCCTGTCGTGCGTTGTATGATGGCTGCTCCAAAACGACCGCTTAGTTTGGAGCAGCCAGCCCGCTCAAGTGCGGAAATTTGGCGTGGACATGCCCATGCTCGCATGCCAGTGCACTCATTAATTAGATATATCAAGTGAATGTGCTGCAGTTTGCTTATTAAGGAAAATAGTTTATTCTTCATGATTATTGACAAGCTTAAGTCAGACATAATGCAAAAATTTTCAGATTGAGAGCAAAAAAAATTGCAGTGTTATGAATAATCCGATTTTCTAAAATAATTTTGGTTTTTGTGTGAACTATATGATAAAAACTCCAATATTGGTCACGGAATTAACTGGTACATAACGAGAATTTACATGCTCTACTCTAATAGATCGGGATTTATCGGATGAATTTTCAATGCGTTTTCTAGAAATAGTGAGCAATAACTTTTCAATTATCAAGTGCTCAAAAATAGTGAGCAATAACATTTTCGTTACAGCTTCTCCGCGTAGATCAGACTGCTGACCACTCATGTTCTAGAGCAGTCATGTTCTAGGTGAGCACGTTAAACTCCATCAGCTCCCGCAACTCAGAGAAAAGAAATAAAGTTCAGGCTACTATGTTTGTATTTATTTCAATCAGAATATCTCGAGTGCCAATCAATATGTAAATTAGAATTACAATTAATTTATGTTTAGCACTTAGCATTCTGTTTAAACTAGATTTTATTCATCTTCATTTTTATTATTATGCACGATTATGATTTATGTTATAATAATACGTATATTTTGCTTTTTAAAACTTCATAAGCGTACGTGTAATAATTGACGTTTGTAAGGCAATCAATAATAGTGAAACTCAACTCATGAAAGATCATTTAATAATTCATTAAATTTTCAATCATTTTTCTGTATGTAACCGATTCTTGTACTTTTCATGACTAGATTCACAAGGGATCCGACCTTTGGAACCCGATCTTTTTCTATATAATAGTGAACTCATGTAAGATCACTTAATAATTCATTGAGTTTTCTATCATTTTTCTGTATGTAACCGTCATGAGTCATAAAATGTGTTTATTTTTTGTTATCAACCAAATGATAGTTAGAATAGAAGTGTCGGCCTACTGAAGAAATAGGCCCTTGGCCTGTTGCCGATTCTTGTACTTTTCGTGACTTGATTCACAAGGGATCCGGCCTTTGGAACCCGATCTTTCCATAACTGACGATTGTTATGTCCAGCACCATAGCTGCAGGAGTCCAGCATGCAATAAGTTTAGCACCATAGCTGCTGGAATTACAATTATTGCCTGGTCCGTAATTTGCTAGGCATTTTAAGACTGAACATATGCTCCTGCATAGCTTCGTCTAGTCTGTTTTTGAAGGAGTTCATACTCGGAGCGTCAACGATGCTATCAGGGAGGCTGTTCCACATGTCGGTGACTCGAAGCGAGAAGAAATGTTGCCGCATGGATAGTTTGATTGTTTTCGCTCTGAAATAATTGATGAAAAAGAGTATAAGTGTGAAAATTTAATCCATAAGATAGCTAATATAAAACATATACCTTTAATATATGGAGAGCAGCAAACCATAAAGTTAATATATTGAACAAATGCAGTGCCACAAAAAGATATGCACTACATCGCGAAGGAAATATTATTTCAAATACGCAGGCACCTTCAGCGTTACCTGCTGTTTCTCTAATCATCAGTGTAGTTCTGACCATGAAACTAACAATTATATCAACGTCAATGCGATCATAATATGTAAAAACTGTTTGATGACTCAAAGTGCTGAAAGCTTATTAAATCAGATTAGAACTAGGCAAGTCAGGTCAAATAGTATTCATAATTTTAACAATTACACATGTAAGTCTTTGATTGATTTCATGAAGATATTTTTACTCGGTGCCCCATGCACCCAACAGTTTATAGTTCACGACATTTAAGGAAAGCTTTAGTGGCCATTCAATGGGTAACGGACGGCAGCAGCCATTAAATGGCTCCAAGTTCACATAGTGCAGCTAGCAACTTGTACACACGGAAATGTTCTGCGTGCCGAAAAGTTGATCAACCTATACTTAACGGTCAGCATTGAATCCATGTACAACGTGACGATCTGTTTTTCGCCTTGATGTGTTTGTTCCCCTCTTATTTTAAT